CCACCTGCAGGAGGATCAGTGAGGGGCTGGTGCTAAGTGTCCTGGGTACAGCTCTGACTGCCACCCCCCCGACCCAGAAATGGATTAAGGGGAAGAAAATGGATGGATGGATGGATGGAGTTTTTACGACTCATGGGCGGTTTGATGATTTATAGCTACAGAGTTGAATAAAGTATTTTGCTTCTTCAACTCAGAAAGAGCGAGGGGTGAGAGATAGATGTAGGGTCAGAGAGTGTTCGGGCTTTTAAAACTGTGTATGTATGTACTGTATGTTTCTTTGCTAACATGTTTTTTTGGTGTTGAATGTGTACACAGGTTTGAAATAACTAAGTTTGATGGATTGATTGATTGATATTGTAATTGATTAAATACATCAGCACACACAAAACATCTCTACACCAAACAGATCGCAATCAAGGTGTACTTTGGTTAATCAGTCGCCAATTTGTTAGCATGGCATTAAAGTTCTCTAGTTCCGTGAAAGCAAAGGTCTAATTACCAGAAAAATCTGTTTCTGTGTGAAAAATTCTATACATGACTAGAAATGTTGAACCAGGATATTTGCCTCTGACTGCAGCGTAATCCTAGGAAAAATAGTACGCAACCACAGAATAGTTAATTTTGTTGCTTTTCATAAATCATCAATTGTTATGTTTGGGCACCTTTTCTCTCCCTTTGTTTTGTGTCTTATATTTTTGTCCAGGTATTTCTTGGTTTTTGATAATGGTTTGACAACTTTTTGTAATCTAAATTTTGCGTATACTGAACGACAGCCATCTCCACCATTACACAACATTAAATGAGAGCCCCTGTTTGCCACTGTCTCTTGGTTTACTGTGTGTCATCAAGCCCCGGTGCTTCTGGAGACCCGGCTGCAGCAGAGTTTAGTCAATACAAAAGGGCTACTGGGAAAATATCATGTGATGACGAGTACACATGATCCCGGACGAACAGCAACACAAAACCTACGGGACAATCTGTCAAGCCAACCTTTGTCCTGCTGACCAGGACGAGGCCACTGCTGTTTGTAAATAGATCAATCGTGGGGCTGATGCTTACTGTACATCTGCACTATATGTGGAAAAGTAAGCAGAAGGGAAAGTATTTACCGGGTATGTCTGTGCTACTCACTGTACGCTCTTGATTGATGGGCAAATGAATAAATAGAAAAAGCAGAAATGTGAAGAAATCGTGTATCAAAGTCAGTATTCAAGTCCCCTTTCTGTTACAATATAGCCGCTCTTGTGTAACCCACTATTGCTAATCTTGCATCTGTACTTTTAATTCAAGAAAACACAGACACAGCTTTTTATCTTGTTTTGAGTGCTTCTATATTTCATTTTCTACCTCTTGTATTATGCACTAAATGTCCCTGCTGCTTGACAAATACAAATGAATTGTCAAATCTTAATCATTCATATCAGTGAGTCGGTGTATATATATATAGATGTTTCCCTCTGTACACTTGTCAAGGGTGAGGGTTATGTTATGCTCTATGGAAAGAATAGTAAGAGTTGAAAAGATAGAGATTGAAAGCATTAAGGGGCTATACATGTTTTGAATATGGCTTGCAACCATCCCACTTTTGTCCAGGACCAGGAGAGATGTATGTTCAGATTAGGTTTATATACTGTAAATGGCATACATGTTAGCTTATTTTACCATTGGTTTTGTAATATAAGCTCCATCCACATAAACATCACTCGCTACGCTGCACTGTTGCAGTTTAACCACATATGCATGAGTTGTTGTCCAAAACTAATGAACAAAACAATCAACAATGCACTTGAATTATCCTCAAACCCGCTTGAGGATAATTCTTTGTTACTACAACTATTTTTTCTTTATTCTTCTAATTCTCTGTCAATCTATGAGCGTTAGGCCCGCCCAATGGCTGCATGTCTGGACTAACAGACAGTTTTCAGGCTTGTCAGGCTCACAATTTTCCGACTGTTGAATGGTACAAATGTCTGAGAAAACCGCACCCGGCCTTTATGTGAATTGAGCTTACAGGCAAAATGGGAATTGGGAGATATTTCCGTGCTGGGTTAAGATAAGATAAGATAAGATGAACTTTATTGATCTCACACTGGAGAAATATACATGTCACATTTGGCATAGATAGAATGACTCAGATTGCTAAGCTTTCTGCCTAAATTGTTCATTGTTTTTTGATATCAAAAGTATATAACTATTAACCAAACAACTAATAAAACACAATTGTCTGCATGAAAACCAGTGAAGCTGCAATATATGAGCTAATTACATGCTATACTCAGTTATGCTCAATATGCAACCAAAGAACCATTCTGCTCCAATAACTGCTCTGTTGAAGAGGACACACAAATCTAACATGGCAGATTGAAGCTCCACTGAGGCTGTGAACCCATGAGCTGATGTCGGGCTCATTTAGCTCTCATCAGTAAACAGTAGTGGAATAAATGCCCCCATTTCACTTTGCGCCTCCCTTTGTCCTGAGCAAACAGCAGCTCGATGGGCCTCTCAGGATATACCGTGTGAGCTAAATTAAGATGACAAGGACGTTGAAGGAGCACTGCATTTGTCACTGTACCCTTGTTCCTCTATTAAACCTCTGTCTGCACGGCCAAATTACTTTTTGGATTTATATGCTCTTTTGGAAGTCTTATGAGTGTAGCAAAATCTGAATGGAAAAAAATCAACTCTTTATTGCATGTATTCTATTTTTATCAAGTTTAAAGGTGCATTTCCTCAACTGTCTTGGTGGTGACCTGCTTTTTTGTGAAGCAGTCCACTACCTGCAACTTGTGATAGATATGGTATTTCTATGCATAAAATGTTGTTCAGTGTGGTTTATAATGTGTCTAATCCTCCAATATGAATGATTATGGAACTTAATAAAAGTTCTTTTGACAGAAAGGAGACTGACCGTGTTACAGTTACAGAGATAACTTGTATCTTAGCTTGGTGAAGTCCGTGAAGCGGGGGACGGCGGGGGGCAGCATCATGTTGTGGATATTTTCGAACTAGATAGACGTCAGCGAGAAAGTGGAGTTCCAAACAGACAATGACCCAAAGCACACTTCTAAACTGTGTTCTTAGGTGTGACGCTTCACCCACATTGTTTATTGTCTGGTTTGTCTTGTGTTGTCTATTGTCTGGTGTGCGCATGAACGATTGGTGGTAGTCGGATGGGCCGATGGAACATACCAGTTGCCTCGCTGCTGTCTATTTGCCACCGGGCAGCTGGGTGTGAAGTAGTAGCTTATCACCATTGTATAGGGAGTGGATGAATAATGTCACGTGAAGCATCTTTACTTATTATTATTATTACACTATCATCATTATTATAACAGTGAATGATGAATTGTCCACAAAGCCACACCTATAATAACTTAAAAACCTCAGTGTCCAAGCTTTATTTTGAACATATCATGGAAACACCATCTTGAGTAATCAGTTTCAACGGTCATCATTTTGGAAAACAAACAAATTAATCACTGATAATGTGGCATTTATGAATATTTCAACTGCAGTTGCATTCTTTCTCATTTTTCCCAATGGGTCTTGTTAGCGCTTTAGCAGTTTATTAGTGAGCCAGTGGTGTTCTTAATTAAATTGCAAGGATCTGTTATTTGCACATATAATTATAACTTTGATCTTATGAAGCTTCTTGTTCCTCCCTGTCTGAGGGTGGGGCTCTGAGATGAAAGTGTTATTCTGTTATTATACTTTGGGGCCAAAGCAGTACCATAGGTCAGAAAACAAAAGGTGTTGGGTCAAATGATGTTATTACGAGCTGCAATTATTAAGCCATGTAAAAGGCTTCAGCCATTCTATTAGTGAGAAATATGCTGGAATTTGCACCATAATTAAAATGTACCCACGCTAGAATGCTCAGCTTACGAGATCGTTGCCACACAATCACAGCTCTCTTTTAGCCAAGCGCAAAACCAGCAGCAAAAAATGCCAATTAAAAACCAAAGAGCTTTTTGATTGGTGAAAGAAGGACGGGAATGCTAATAGTGGTGAAGGGAAATGTTATTGCAGCAGCAGCACAGCAAGATGCACTGCGGCTGATGGTTAGAATTAGAGTATATTCAACAAGGAAGCATTACACGGACGCCACAAAAACCACGGTTTGAAATGGTCAGTATAATATATGTTCTGTACTATTGTAAATGTTTTCCTTTTAGTTGGAGGCTCTTGAATCTTTCTTCAAAATGACTTAAACATAATAGTCTTCCTTTTTCTTTTTGGTTTAATGTGATGAATTGATATGATACTGCAGGCAAAGCAATAGATTTTGTATGAGAAATCTAAGGGACCACCACTGAGATTGAATAACGAGATCCGTCTTAACATTTGTCTGATCTCAGTGCAGCCTTCGACACTGTAGATAATTTTCTCCTTTTACAGAGGCTGGAGGTCTGGGAGGCTTTCTCCGGCATTGCTCATAAATTGGTTGTATTATTAACAGGAAGATAAAAAGTATTTTTTATTGATGTTGATAGCTACATCCCTGAACTAATGCCACCCTGAAGAGTACCACAGGGGTCAATCTTAGGGCCCCTCTTATTTCATATCTACTTGTTTCCCCACGATCATAACTATGCAAATAACACACAGATCTATGTCTCACTGACCACACACTATGGGGTCTGTGAATTTTCTGTATAAATAAGATGACTTACTACTGAAATCGTTCCTTCACTACATCTGTGTGTGTTCTAACTGATCAGCGAATGGTAGTAAAAATACAATGTACAGAAGGAATGTCTGATCTAAAATATTGATTGGCAAGTAATGCATCCTTTTAGAGATGTTCAAAAGCCATTTCTTACAGAAAAAAATCTCACAGAAAATCCAATGAACAATGCCAATATCCTAGTAACTGAATGACCATGGGCACACTTTAGAACACAGCCAAAAGGTATATGTCTCAAAAGTCAATGTGAATAGGATGGTGTATTCTGCTCCAGAGTGGACGCATGGAATGTATAGAACAAATAAAAACTTACTGAGGACATAGAGGGACAGGCTGATCCCGGCCAGGCAGAACCCCTCGAAGAACCTCAGGGTGGCAAACATGGGCACGTTGAAGGAGAAGGCCACGGTGAGACCAAAGACCAGCATGAAGAGCACAGACATGATCAGGACTGGGTGTCGACCAAACCTTCAGACAGAGGAGAAGGTTTGTTATTCATCACTTTTACACTGGTTTGATTTGACTTTTTGAGGGATATGGCCGTGAGAACAGTTGTCATTTATTTTCAAACAGGCGATGCGGCACAGCAGGTAGCAAGGGAAATGTGGCAATAATTGGCTGCTTCAGACTGTCAAAACTGTCTTTTCTGGTCGTAATCCCTAATCTTCACCATTTTCAACCAATTATTAAACATAACCTGGCAAGAAGAAACCAGGACTGGGAAGAAATCAGCCAATCAGACACTCTCGCCTACCCTCAAAAAAGCATGAGACAAACTGAAAACCAAAACCCATTGAAGGAGAACATTGTAATTAGCAGTCATTTTAAACATCAAAAAGCATTCATGAATGTAATTAATTATTTGAGTAATTTACTGTGCTATTAGATGTATTTTTTTCACTCACAAAATTGCATGTAGTCCTGAACTTGTATGTGTGTCTTTGTGTTCCAATATACATAGAAATTGTATTCTTTGGGAACCACTGGGCAAGCAGACACATAATTTTTTTTTTTTAACATTAGTTTCTGTGTTCAAATCAATACATTTTGAAGCCACACAAAAAGCTGATGAGAGCAATAATGTTTTGGTCACGTATTTGAACTCGAGCAGTTTCACATGGAAGCGATTCTTATGCATTTATATGACATTATTACTGTCTCTTGGCTACACACACTGAGGCGGCAGTGATATATTGCAAGTCGCATGATGTGTTTTAAGAAAAACATTACATTTACAAATGTCTAATATAAATGCACACAAAGTCCTGTTATATAGAAGCAATTTATACACGATAAGATAATACACGTACAAAAAACATTTAAAAGTCTCACCAGTCAGCGAGGATTCCAAACACTAGGTATCCAAAGATCGACCCCACCAGAAGAGAGAACTTTGCGATATGGACTTTCCACGCTGAGTCGCACACCAGACTCCACTGTGGACACAAAAAAATACATATTCATGTTAGTAAGTAAGTAATCTGTATTCATATAGCACATTTTTACAGACCAAGGTCACCCAAAACGCTCAGAGTTCAGATATCGTTCCATTCTCTCTACACACGGTGATGACGGAAGCGAGACGCCGAACACACTGGTGCATCAAAGCCTCTGACCAAACACTATCCATTCACTCACTCATTACAGTCATACCTATTGTGCATGTTAGGGGAAACTGGAGCACCCGGAGGAACCCTACACAGACATGGGGAGAACATGCAAACTCCACTCAGAAAGGCCCTGTTCTAACCGGGATTCGAACTCAGGACCTCCTTTTTTTGTGGTATATTTTTAATATATTTTTGTATTTTGTTTCTGCCACCGATTCATGAGTACATGTGAACCGAATTGTTGCATTATTGTTACACAGCTAGATTCTGTGTTCACTTGTCAAAACCAGTGGGGGCGGGTCCTGGCTCAAAAGTGGCCAAAATGACGTGCTTGCAATACCACCCCGGGCCGATGGGGGTGGACCCGGAATAAGAATTAGCCAAGGCTAACATATAGCATTGGCAGACCTCTCGAAAACGTCTTTACAGGATGGTCCAAAAGTTGGCTCTTGGCCCAAAGCTCCGTTCCACATGTGTGTCAATGCTGAGGGGGGTGAATTTTTTTGGACCAGTCTAGTTTACTCGCTGTGAATTTTTGAAGTCACTCGTTTAAATGAATAGGGCTAGTGCCGGCTGACGCGTGCGCAGATGCGTTTTTTCACATTTTCCAGCCCCCGCGGCCATTTTGAATCACTCCATGAAAGCCCAATTTTTGGCCCATTAGTTAGAACGGCGGAGATAGGCGTGACTACGTCCGTAAATATATACAGTCTATGGTTCAAACACATACATGCCTACAACACATTCTCCCTCATATTTCTTACTCGCACTTACCCCAAGCGCACTATAAGAAAAAACTAAAATAAATCCCAGTACCTTCTTAACCCTAGCAGTTAAGAAGAACTTATAAAATTTCCTAATGCCTCATATTTTCACAATTTTCTCCTCTAATAGAAAGACTGCATCTTAAACTAGCTAAAATACTTCTTGCCTTTTCATTGGGCTGACAATGAAATGACCCCTTGCTTATGTTATCCAGTCCGAAGAAACCTCAATAGCTTGCACCATTAACTTGTGAAATGTTATTTACAGCCACACCATAACAAACATTTACAACGGGAGGAAGGTAATGAGGCAGGCCTAACATCTGGACTTGATTTGGTTTGATGAGGGAAGTTTAAAGCTTATCTTCTGCATGCAGGTGTGAAGCAATAACACACCAACGTAGAGTGGGAAATTCATTTTAATTTGGCCTCATCAACGTGAGAAACAAAGTGGAAAATGCCCAGCTGAGTTATCTGTGAGTTAGGATTTGAATTGTATCCGGGAGCAAATATATACAGGTTTAGTGTTGAGGAAATGTGCTAGATCCAAAAAATGTGCCGCATACCAAAGCCCTTTTTTTATGTGGGAGGAGAATGTTTTGGGTAATGGGGAAAACCTAGGGAAAACAGGAAAAATCCAGGTTTCACTTAGAGGTAGCTCAGACTAGAAGATTGGGTGATGATCATGAAGTTCTCCACACACTACACAGCACAGCACCCACTCCTTATCGCACCCACACCCATGGAGTCCCAATTTAACATTTAACAATTTCAGTTTGTTTGCGTACCTTTCATCTTTGTCTACTTTTTATTGTCCTATCTTTGTTCTATTTTGCGTTTTTTGTGTGTTCTTCTTGAATGTTATTTTTGTCTGTCCGTTTTGCTGTCTTTAATACATAAAAAAATCCACACTAAAAAGGATTGAACCCACAACCTTCTTGCTGTGAAGATACCCGCGATGTACCGATATAGTGGTGTGTAGGGGTGGGAACCTAAGGGTACCTCACGATACGATACGATACACGATACAAAGCTCACGATAACGATATTATCACGATAACGATTTTATCACGATTATCAATATATTAGTCAGAAATATACAATATGCCAATTTATGGCATAAATACAAGAAAAAATACACTTTATTTCATGATAAATGGAATGGAGATGCGTAATGTAGCCATATATTAAGTATTGATACCAATTTTTTATTTTTTTTTTATTGTAAAAAAAAAAAAATAACATCTTTTTTTTTTTTTCAAAATCGATATTGATGCTTGGCAAATGCATATCGATAATCGAATCGCGGGAGAAAGTATCGTGACAACTTCTTGAATGTTGATTTGTCTGTCCTGAATGTCTGAATGTTGATTTGTCCTGCGTGTGTGTGTGTAGTGTAGTCATGTTTTCTCTGCCCATATAAACGCAATGACAGGTGCAGATCAATCAAACTTAGTGCTATACATATGTTGACTTACAGACACTGAGCTTGGTGACAAAGGTGACAAATGAAGACTATGACCTGCCAACGCCACAATCTGTTATTGCTTTTCCATCACCAGTCATCTCGATGCAGATCAATAAGATAGAAGTTCCTTTCTTCCCGCAGCAGGTAGGTAGGAAAATGCGCTCTATGCTTGTGATATATTTATAAACAGTAGTACCATATGCCAACAGGGAAGTACTCAAATACATTTTTCAGGACCCAATGTTTGCACTATAAAAATTTTATTTTTGACTGGGCATGGGTTAGTCCTAACTCCTATACAGGCATTGCCCCAAAAGAGATAAGTATTTCTAAATAAATTAAAGAATAAAAAAAATATTCTGGAAATTCTCACACAACCCCGAGTGTCCTGCGATCCCCACTTTGGGAACCATTGGAATAGCAGACATACATGCATTTGTTTATTCTATATTTTTGCCAACGCCACAATCTGTTGTTGCTTTTTCATCACAATTCAGAACAATAAGAGGGATAATTATTGTCCCACAGTGGGGAGGTAGAAAAAAAGCTCCAAGCAGCAGATGCATAGGACAACAGGGAAGTACTCAAAACCTATTTCAGGACTTAAGACCTAATACTTGCACTTGCTTTTCGACTTGGTGTAAACAGAACAATGGATAGATAGTAACAATGGACGTTCACGTGACTCAAGACATTTGGACTCATCTGCAAACTCAGTGACTCATTCAATCTGCTCCAGTTTCACAGCTCCAGCTGAGGCCCCAGAACTAATATTCACCCTTGCCCCATTTATGGTTTAGTTCACACTAAACATGCATCACCAGGGATCTTAATAAACTAAACTAAACCAGATACTATTTATATAAATTATCAACCAAGGTGCTGCAGCTATGAACTATTTTAGTAATGGGGTGTTATTGATTATTATCTGTTTTTTTTTTTTACACAACTGCATATTAATTATATAATTTAGGGAAAAAATATTTTAAACAAACTGTTCTGAAATATTAGCATTTCATACTTCTTAATTGTCTTCAGAACAGTGTTGGTACCAGGCTGAAAAATAGCAAACAAGTTCAGGAAATACAGTTTAGTGGCAATTTCAGCCCCATTGGCCATAACCTTTAATAAAACTTCTGAGCTGGAAAACACACGCTATGTGGCATTTTCACTCAAGTGTTGATACATTTATAATATTGGATCTATAGCCAATCCAGTTGTGGGAGAGAATCCTCTCTCAATGTGGGTCTCCCCAAGGTTTCTCACTTTTTCCCACTGGGGTTCCTTGTCAATGCATCAGCGGTGATGATCCAAGACATTTATGAATTTTTTTTTGCATGTATGGACTGTTTGATTCTCTGATCCGTGATGGCAAATGAACAACTTAATAACGTTCTCCAAGACGACTACTGTAGCTATTGATGAATGCGAATATACAGTATAAAGAAATGTCTTCTCTTCTACACCCTTCCTTTTCTTCCCCTTCAGTCCCCCACAGTATCTTGGCTTGCCACTGTGCCTCTTTGTCCTTTCATATTTCTTCTAAGGGCTTTTAACTTCTCATAACCTATGTCACAGTGACCAGCGGCGAATGGAACGCTCCCCGGGATTACCGAGAGCCACCGCACTATCACATGATCCGAGCATGCCACTCATTCATGCTTTTAGTATCGCCGTCAGCACAGAAAGACACTGAGGCAGGCAAACTAGTTCTTCTTGCATAATCAACGGCAAGAGCTAAAGAAGTGCGGAGGAGCAGGGAACAAGGGAAAGAGAGAGAGAAACCGTAGTGATGAGTGGGCGACTTCGAGAACGGCTGAGGTGGTGACACGGCCGAGACTGGCGGAGGAGGAGGGCTGCTGGGTCATGTCAAGCAGGAGAACACAAGGCAGGCATCATTTCCAAGTCCATGAATAGTTCAGTGGAAATATCTTGGTGGAGTACAGTACTATAAATGTGTAATGAGTCCAACTTCTAATCTAGGCCAAAAGCAGGTATATATACTTTGTGACACGCAAGGTAAACAAAGAAAATCCAAGTTTACGGTTGCGTAGTTCACACAGCTCACCCAAGGCATACAAAGTTGTCATGTGTATAAGAAGGGATTGACCGATTAGAATTTTTTAGAACCAATACCGTTTTTTAGGTTTTTTTTCTAATAGAAAAGTGAACATAAATACGGACATTACAGAAAAAGACATAAAAAAAAAAAAATACACATACATGTACACATATATACCCACTTACATACACCCACAAGCATACATACATGTACATATACACACACACAATACTGTATTTTTTTTATTTTTTTTTAATAGTCTGAATTATAGTATTCAGACCAGTGGAGGAGGGTCCCAGCTCAAAAGTGGCCAAAGTGACGTGCGCTGACATGCTTGCAATACCACCCCGGGCCAATGGGGGTGGACCCAGAAGAAGAATTAGCCAATGCTAACATATAGCATTGGCAGACCTCTCAAAAACGTCTTTACAGGATGGACCAAAAGTTGTCTCTTGGCCCATAGCTCCGTTCCACATGTGTGTCAATGCTGAGGGGGGTGGATTTTTTTTGGTCCACTCTAGTTTACTTGCTG